ACATTAATATTGATGATGTGAATACATAAATATTGTCAATACCGATGTATTGACGTCAATATTGAATGTATTGACAATACGATTATTGTCAATAAAAGCAATCGTGTACGGTCCACATATCACCCATCCATATTATCTCCTTCTCCTATTCAGATTTCCTACCACAGTTGATCACACCACCCTTTCGATCCTGTCTCGCCCAATTATGTTTAGAAAATATCGATTTCAAACTAATCCTACTAACAAACACCAAAATATTAGGAATTTTACCTGCGATGTAAACATCCATGCATGCAAACATTCATACATGTACTTCCTTTTCACGTAAACTAGCAGCTTGCAAGAAATGTTGCATACAATATATATATATATGGAATATTGCATGACGTGTCTCATACATTTACACGATCTGTAATGTACACTTGCATGATACATGACGCTCTATTTATGTGCATCATAGTAACGGAAATTTACACTACTTTTTTAGCTGTGTAGAAATAAATAATTTTACAAGTGACGGAATCCGTCTTTGACATAAAAGATGAGACGTAAACAAACATGGCATGTAATATTGAGTGCTCCGAGACGGAAAAGTTTGTTGCTCGACGAAAAGTACCGCTGATTGAGCTATATTTTGCGTCTGTTATGACTCCAATTATTGTCAAAATTGACGCTCGTATATGTCACTCTCAGAGCACCTAAATTAACATGTTTTTTTCTAAGTGTGTAGAACATTGTATCTAAACGATTACAAGCCTCAAAGTAAACGTCGAAGTGGAACTGCCAACTGCTAGCTCCATGCAGGGCTGTTATCTGATCACTCAATGCGCGCAATGTACTGATTTTCTGAAATATACAAAGTGAGAATCAGGCAAACACAAAGTTGGTTTGTTTTTCACCCTGCGCAAGTGTAAAGCAGCGGAAAAAAGAAGATAGACACACACCCAGAAAAAAACGAAAGCTCAATGTGTAGCCATCGCTCCGACGGCTCCGACGCAAAGAGTGCCACTCGGTGTAGGATTGCAAATGGGAATCACAGCAAAAAGAAAAAATTCTTCTTTGCTATGCCCTTCTTCATCTCAGTCATGGTAATCAAAGTCTGCAAAGAATTCAAAGAAGACATTAGCGCTTGTTGTATTCAGGGCTGGCAAATGGCATTTTCAATGAAAGATCTCACGCGATATTTAGAGAGATACTTCTGTTACTATCATCGGATGAGAAAACTATGATAGAGATTTACTTCAAAATCTCATCAATATTTTGTCTTGGCAGAACGTGGCAGTATTGTTAACATCGCAATTACTAGCTCATTTATTGATATTAATGTTACTTGTACCTTGGAAATCCTAAAAATATATGCACTCTACCGATTACATACTGTTGTTTGCCTATATTCATCTAAATCAATTAGAAATGTTAATGTCAAAACCGTATGACAATTATTCTCAGGAATGCTAGATCATTGGAAAATGACAAAACATTTCATTATAGGTAGTTTCATCTCGTGATAGTGTTTTTTCATTGTCACATGACGGTCGTGATATTTAACAGCTCTGGTTGTATTATATTCGCTGCCTGCGCCGCACGGAGTGTACGGCACATTGAGTGAATCGCTTTGTACATGCATCTCACAACACTCTTTGTCGAATGTTGTGAGATGCATGTACAAAGTTGCTTTCCAGCCCTGGCTCCATGGAAAGTTAAGGTTAGGTTATCTTTATTAGCGAGACTTTCAGCCAGAGGCTGGTTCATATCTTTCCATTGAAAGGTCGTGAAGTCCTTTAGAAGCATCTCAGGTATGTCCTATCGCGATTTGAGTGAAACGGATGATGCCGTCCGTAGTACAGTGCAGCGAATTCACTACCACGAAGGCTTACAGGCATACCATAGCTAGAACCCGTGCTCAATAGCTGTATGACAAACAATCCTCTGCCAAGATGGAGGGTTGCTGAAGCCACCACCATTAATGGTGTCAGCACTATAGCCTACAGTTTTTATGTTATGTTTATATGTGCATTGACGACACTTATGCGTTACAAAATCTTAAGTGAATAATCATTAATGTCTTAGATTGGCAGATAATCGAGCCAAAGAACCAACAACTTTTGCTTCTAGCAAAAAATGGGTGGATGACGTTTGTGCCACCGGACACATATAAAAATTCTGAATTTTAATAGTGATGTAAACATTCATTCGTGGACCTCCCTTAGCTCAGTTGGTAAAGGCACAGCTACAAAGCAAGACCATGCTGGAGGTGGCTGGGTTCGATTCCCGGTCCAGTCTAGGAATTTTTCGGGTTGGAAAATTTCTCGACTTCCCTGGGCATAGAAGTATGATTGGACTTGCCACACAATTATACCAATGCAAAAATGGTACAGGCATCGAAAGCTCTCAATTAATAACTGTGGAAGTGCATCTAGAACACTAAGTTGAGAGCACGCAATAAGCTAATATGCCATACGCAATAAGCTTGAAATGCGAGGAAGAAGAAGAAGAAGTAAACATTCATTCACGTAAACTTGTATTTTATTTAACGCAACCGAGCAACTTGCAAACAATGTTGTTTACAACAATGGGTTTTTGCATACAATATTTGCTACATTGCATGAAATGTCTCAGAACTTTACATGATATATAATGTAAACTTATATGATATGTGACGCTCCATTTATGTGCATCATACTGAACAGAAATTAACACTACTTTTTCGAACTGTGGAGTGATGACAACTTGTTGACCAAGACCGGTTGGTGAATACTTATGGATGATGAAACCTATGTAAAGGCCGACTTCGGACAGCTTCCAAGGACCAAAATTTTGCAAGGTGAAGGCTCCAGGAGGTATCCCTGGTAGATTCAAATTTGTATTTGCGGATAAATTCGCACGCAAATAGGGTTAATTACCCGATTTCCGGCCTATTAAGCACAACCAGCACTTAGTATTTCTTAATCTTGCGTAGTTTAGCACCAAACGGAATGTTATTATTCCTGATGGCTTCTAAATTTATTTACCTTTCCGTACGTATCGTAAAATTTGATAAGGAGTAACACATTTTTGAGATATTATTAAAAATCTAACACTGCTTCTTGACGCCAAACTCGGCCAACGGATTCTAAACTCGGCCTAACGCATTGCAACTTGCCTAAAATTGATTCGGTCGGAGCGCTTCTTTTGTTTTTGGGAATTATGGATGCAAACCTTCATATCACGCGTTCTGATTGACTTCGTTCGGTAGCATTTGAACTAAAGTATCGTACCAAACGCATAATTTACCTGTTAACGCCGGAATCATGGATTTGTTTGGTGTTTTCTGCTTGATAGGACCTAAAGGGCGCTCAGGCCGAAGTAGTTCTCTACCCTATATGATCTGACAGGGAATTTGCAGCTGCGGTCAGAAGACAAAGGTCTTCGTCACTGAAAAAATAATGAACTCGGAGGTTTACAAAACCGAACGTCGGAGGGAATTCTGCCCTTTATCCAGTCAAAATACTCAAAGCAAGAGCCACATGTGAAAAGGGCATACAAGCTTTTTGTAAACAAACCTTTGTAGGTTCTTTTCTCGCCAACCAAGGGTCGCCTACGCAAACCAACCACATCATCGGAAAGGGGAAAGTTTCTCCTACCCTGTGATGTTGATGGTTTGCGTTGGTGTCATATGGATGGCGAGAAAAGGGCATAAGCAGGTTTGTTTACAAAAAGCTTGTATGCCCTTTTCACATGTTGTTCTTGAAATGATGTTGTTCCATTTCTAAGTAGGCCATGCTTTTTTTTTTCTTTGGTTTGTTTTTTTCCGTTGATCTTGTTTTCCGTGCTGAGCTCCAATGCTACCGACGCGAGGAAGGCAGCTCCCACACCTGGACCCTACCTATCGACCCATCAACTCATGAACCGGGGACCAACGGCTTTACTTCCCATCCGAAGGAAGGCGTGATCAGAGATGTTATGCCTCAGAACATCCCGGCGGCGCCGACTGGGATTGAACCCAGGCCTGCTGGGGTGACTAGGCCATGATTTATTTAAGGTTTATGTCTACAATTTTGGGCTTGTTTAATTATGTTTGCATCAAAAATGGCTTGTGAATAGCCTCGAAATGCGTTATCAAACAGTATATTTCAACTTCTCTAAAACATTTGACAAAGTTCCACATACACTTGCTGTGAAAATACTCAAACGCATGGGATTCCCGAAGTGGCTTACTCGATGTCTACAATCGTGTCTATTTGGGCGCAGGGCTTTTGTGCAGCTTGGAGGAACCTCCTCTGAAAATCTCTCAATTGCATCCGGAGGCCCCCAAGGAAGTCAAGTAGGACCATTACTTTTCGCGCTATTTGTGAATAATCTTTGCCCACTATTTAATAAAGTATATGTTCACTGATGACCATGAAAACAGAGCTGGAGTTGAAGAACATTTGGGTAAAAACAACAAAAACACTGGGAAAATCGGTTGTATAAAATTTGATGGATGCAAAAAAAGGAAGGTGTGGGCATTCGGGATGGGAGACGAAATTGAATAAAATCAATTTTGTAAATCATAATTCATTAGTAGTTTTTCATTTCCTGAAAATTTCAAGAAAATCTAATAATCGCTTTAATTTTTGGTGAGTAAATAAGTGTGTGCCATTTTTATCGAATACACCCACTACACTCAGAATTTCAGGATCAGAGGTGCAATGCCTCAAAACATCCCGGAGGTGCCGACTGGGATTGAACCCAGGCCTGCTGGGATGAGAGGTAATCACGCTTACCACTACACCACCGGCACTTATGAATAATTATTTTTATAGATTATCCATGTAACGATGAATAAAGATGTATTTTTAAAGTATAACATGAACCCTTTAATTTGATTTCATTCTCGTTCATAAAAGCGATGGTCCATGGTACTTGTTAATACACCAAATTTAAATACCTTAAGTAACTAAAATTATCGTTAAAATTTCAAACTCTCTGTGCATAAAATCTCAAACGAAATTAAAACATCCCATTTTTCTCGCTTTCAGTATTACCCGAGCATCCGATAGTGCTGAACCAGTGGGGTCAACAACTCAACAGCTCCATACTGGGCCCAATGGAAGAAGGTGACGATATCATGCTGACCTGCCGCGTTGTGGGAGGTAAGTGAACAAATAACCGCAGCAACTCTTTTTCGAAACTAAACTTACGCAAATATTGAAATACTATTATGATAGTCAAATTGAAGATAAGAAACCGTATAGGGGTCATTCCATCTCAAGTGACCAATGCAAATGCATCGACTCTTTCCGATGTGAATCAAAATTGGTGGGTCTTCTTAGCTCAGTCGGTAAAGCCACAGCTACAAAGCAAGACCATGCTGGAGGGGGCTGGGTTCAATTCCCGGTCCGGTCTAGGAATTTTTCGGGTTGGAAAATGTCTCGACTTCCCTGGGCATAATAGAGTATGATGTTGTACTTGCCACACAATTATACTAATGCAAAAATGGTACAGGCATGGAAAGCTCTCAATTAATAACTGTGGAAGTGCATCTAGAACACTAAGTTGAAAGCACGCAATAAGCTAATATGCCATACGCAATAAGCTTGAAATGCGAGGAAGAAGAAAGAAGAAGAGTCTTCTTATTTAGCGCCAAAACTAAAAAATCTAAAGTTTTGACTCGGGGAACTGCCCACTTTTTGCCGATTTTTGATAAACACCAATTTTATTTTTACATATCACTGAATCCAATAAAGATACAAACGGCGTTGGGTACCCTTTTTGAAGCATTTTAAAAATGCAATCATATTGTGTGACCATAATGTGTCTACAGTATTACCAACTCTACGATTAATTCATTTTAGAACTTTAAATGCAAATATCTCCAATACTCTCATTTTTTTTAGTTTCACAACGCAAAAGTGTTCAGCACACTTTTTTTTTCATGAGAATCACTTAACGAGAAAGAAACATATGTGTCGTTTAGGAAACATTAAACTCTAAAGTTTACATGATTTTAAAAATGATCCATTACACCAAAACGTTTCTTTATAGACTATTGATATATTGTTGACGGTTGTTCAAAAGTATAAAATCTGTAAGCATGTTGAAGACCTGATCCTACTATCTTTAAGCACAACCAAATGCTGCGATCAGATTTTTTGTTTTCTACAGTGTTGCCATGTTGCGATTTATATAATTAAACCGTAGAAGAGATTTATATAATTAAACTAGTAACCGTAGAAGAGAACTATAATATTATATTTAATTTCAATCCTTAAATGATTTCAATAGGGAGTGCTTTACAAATTAAAATATTGGCTCGACTCCTAGTGAAAAACTTATCCTTACCAATTGTATTCGACTAATCTGAACACGTAAGTTTTTGAGATTTTTGTTATATTGTACTCAAGACTTTGAACTAAAACATAACAAAAAATCTCAAAATCTTTAACTTTTCTGTTCTGCAAATTCAAGCAAACTCCGTAATCATGTTGTTTTAAATTTTAAATCTAATAATTTTGTTTCGAATGCCATAATGTTTTTTTCTTTGTCACTTCTCACCATATGAGTGTCTATAAAAAGATTATTACAGTGGTTGTTATTTATAACAGAAATTGATAGAATCGTGGTACAATGTTGGCCGTTATGGTCGAGACGTTATTGACTGATAAAGCAAACAAAAAACTCTTAAGCTACCTAGCAAGTCCATTAGACCATCTTACCTTCATCAAAAATTAATTTCTGCCACTCAGAGCTACGCTCCAACGACAGGACCATGCTTTCATTCCCTTTACAGAGATATTCTGATAATGACAGAAGTTTAATTGATTCATTACCATGCACACCGTCGTGCAACCGGCTGGAACAGTGCGAAAAGCTGCCAAGCAAACCATCTACCGACGTCGTCATCGCTGTAAGCCCATCACAGCAGCAGCTCTTTATTACCATACCGGTACCATCTTCTGTTGATCAAAGAAGCAATACGGAGAGATATCCGACGGAAGAGCATATGCCATCTTAGAGTGCACCGCACGCTACCGACCGACTGACTGCATCCGCATAGTCCAAGACCAAGCAAACTGTTTTCGCATGACGAAGTAAATCATAATTTTCAATTTATTCAGCTTAATAATGGATAATAATAATCTTTATTGTCTGGCGGGTGGCCGTCTAAGTCAGTAGTTGGAATTTCAATTGCTCCGCTTCTAATCTGCCAAGGATCTGCTCGTCGGTTCCTAACCTTTGCTAACTTACGAAATGCAACCGAGCCATGTCGTCGTCTGGAGTCTGTCTGCTAACAGAACCTGAGTACACAGAACGTACAGCGGTATGAAAATTCCGGCTAATATGGCTCTCTGGAGAGATGCTGAACGTTTTAAGGATTTCACGGAAGGACAAGTCGCTTGTGGTAATGCGAACCCAGAATATGTCATATGGCCTCCAGCCGACCATCACCGACCAACCGGTGGCGTTGCGTTGGTTGCTGCGTTGGAACGGGCCCGCAAATGCTGATGAATGTTGAATTGAATGTGTTTTCCAACTTTGGCGGTGGATAAAGTGGCACCGACGTTCGTACAGTCAGGAATCCTTATTGCCGGATTCCTTATTGCCGGTATCCCTTATTGCCGGATCCTTATTGCCGGGCTATCCGCGAATAAGGATACCCACAGCTTATGGGATTTTCACTAATGGGGGCTGTAGTGGATTATCTCATTTGTTTGAATACATAAAGCTATACTGTCTTGGACAAAGTTGCTGTACTGGGTTAGACCAACAAGCCTGTGCCATTGGATTCAGGTTAAATTGGGAACTACGTCGCTAGAGGCGCTTCACTTTTATGTTACTTATGACGGGTGCTATAATATATGGATCATATTTCCAACATAGAATATTTCGTGGTCCTGGCCATATAGAAAGTTACTGTCTTCAGCAAAGTTGTTCAGGTGACCAAGTCCTTTCGGATGGTGGTCATATTAGTTCAGAACTCTCTCACTACGCAGCGCTAGTGTGTATGTGCAATTTCTATATAAACTGTATCTCGAGAGCCTAGCCATATAGAAAGTTGCTGTTTTCAGCAAAGTTATGCAGGTGATCAAGTCCTTTTGGATGGTGGCCATATAAGTTCAGAACTCCCTCACTACGCAGCGCTAGTGTGCATGTGAAATTCCTATATAAACTGTATCTCGAGAGCCTGGCCATATAGAAAGTTGCTGTTTTCAGCAAAGTTGTGTAGGTGACTAAGTGCTTTCGGATGATGGTCACATTAGTTCAGAACACGCTCACTACGTGGCGCTAGTGTGCAAGTGAATTTCCTGTATTAGCTGTATCTCGAGAACCTGGCCTTATAGAAGGTTACTGTCTTCAGCAAAGTTGTTCAGGTGACTAAGTCCTTTCGGATGATGGTCATATTATTTCAGAACTCTCACACTACGCGGCGCTAGTGTGCACATGAACTTCCTTAATATGTTATGTCTCGAAAGTTTGTCCATATAAGATGTTGCTGTGCAATGTGAGAACAGGAACCGGAAAAGGGATGACGTGTAGAGGCCGAAAATCGATGTCAGATGCCATTTTGGAATCCAAGATGGCGGCCATCGGTTCAAGAAAAACTGTCAAATACCCTACAATATGGATATTTTTGGAAAGGGGACGACGTGTAGAGGTCGGAAATCGATGCCAGACGTCATTTTGGAATCAAGATGGCGGCCATCGAGTCAAGAAAAACTGTCAAATACCCAACAACATGGGTATTTTCGGATAGGAGATGACGTGTAGAGACCGGAAATCGATGTCAGATGCCATTTTGGAATCCAAGATGGCGACCATAGGTTCAAGAAAAACTGTCAAATACTGTCATTTTGGAATCAAGATGGCGGCCATAGGGTCAAGAAAAACTGTCAAATACCCTATAATACGGGTATTTCTGGAAAGGGAACGACGTGTAGAGGCCAGAAATCGATGTCAGACGCCATTTTGGAATCCAAGATGGTTGCCATCGGTTCAAGAAAAACTGTCAAATACCCTACAACATGGGTATTTTCGGATAGAAGATGACATGTAGAGACCGGAAATCGATGTCAGATGCCATTTTGGAATCCAAGATGGCAGCCATCGGGTCAAGAAAAACTGTCAAATACCCAACAACATGGGTATTTTCGGATAGGGGATAGGAGATGACGTGTAGAAACCGGAAATGGATGTCAGATGCCATTTTGGAATCCAAGATGGCGACCATAGGTTCAAGAAAAACTGTCAAATACCCTACAATGTGGATGTTTTTGAAAGGAGATGTCGTGTAGAGGCCGGAAATCGATGCCATACGACATTTTGGGATCCAAGATGGTGGCCATAGGGTCAAGAAAAACTGTCAAATACTCTACAATATGAGTATTTCCGGAAAGGAAACGACGTGTAGAGGCCGGAAATCGATGCCAGATGCCATTTTGAAAACCAAGATGGCGGCGATCGGTTCAAGAAAAACTGTGAAATACACTACAATTTGGGAATTTCCAAAAAGGGACGACGTGTAGAGGCCAGATATAGACTCCAGACGCTATTTTGGAATCCAATATGGCGGCAACATGTTTTCCATGGTCACCATAGCCGGTCGAACTCCAGACGAAACTAGAACCGCACTACCGTTCATACATGGATAGAAATCTCCTTATACCTTTTGGCAAATTTCTATTGCTGATTATTCATAAAATTTATAGGTCAACTAATAAGCAGACGCCTTGCAAAAAGTTAATGAAGATCATGTGTCAAATGAAATGTATAAGTGGTCATACATACCTTTAATGCATTCTTTTATGACCTATGTTGTATGTCTTATGGAATGCATAAGGCTTATGTTTTGGCAAAAATGTATAAGTGAAACACATGAATAAAATAATTGATTTTCGTTTCGTGTACTGGTGACAACGCTCTGATGAGACAACTAAACCTTACCCCAAGCTCCTCCCCTGATCCAATTCTTCAACAATGTACCTCTCTAACCTTGAGTAAGAGAGTGAATGTTGTTACAAACAAAGAAGAATATCGCGTATAATTTATTGTGTATAGCGTATCACTGAGCAAGATCGCAACGTAACGTGGAAAATTCCTCAAAACAATAAAACGCTTTGATTTATTTTATTTTTTTCTATCATAAACTACAGAT